GCCACGGTATGTTCTTCATTCTTCTGCTCTGCCAGTCTGTACTACCTGACAGAGAGCCTCAGTCCTCATACTGCCAAACAGTGGGAATGGCAATCAGTCGGCATTATCAGCTGCATTTTCTGTGCCTCAAAGTCGCCTTTCACGTCAGATCTCTGCGTTGCAACCGTCAAAGCAACGCAGCCGACAATTGTCCGCACAGCAAGTGCACATCAATGGCTTTTCGCGCTCTTATGGGCAGCTCATTGCTGCTCAGGCAGTGTTCATCAATGCTCTCTGTTTGTGTGTCATGCTGACTGTCCTCAGGATCAAATTCTCTCATGATGTTCTTGGCAGCTCACTCATAGAAAAATGCTCTCGCTGCAGGTGGCCCAGCAAATTAGAGCGGCGCAGCAGAAGGCGGCGCTAGCAGGGCAGGCACCACCAGCATGGGCAATTGGAGCAAAGTGCCATGCGCTCAGTCCTTTGGACGGCGAATGGGCGGAGGCCGTAGTCAAAGGCATCAGCGCATCGGGCAACTTTGTGGTTGCCTTCACTGGGCGAGAGAGCGAGCTGGAGGAGGTGAGGCACCCTGTTGTCAAACCTAATGGAAGGTTTGGGATTCAGGGAGTGGTAGCGGACAGCACCTAGCTCGCATTCTTTTGACCAGGCTGTGTTGGCTTGAGAACGAAGGGTGATTTTGCTGGAGAAAGGGCCCGGGGTGGATTTCCATCGTGCAGCAGGGCATCTGTTGAGCACTGTGCAGCACTGTTGCTGGCGCTGTGCGCTCTTTCGCGTTCTGAGTAGCTGCATGACTGTGGCGACATGCATCGTCCAAGAATTGCCGCAAGTTTCTGCTGCGCGCTTCGGCAATGGTGCTGTGGTATGCGCTGCTGTAAACTGCCACCACGATCTTTTTCCTTGGAATTTGCATGCGAGGCTGCAGAAGGCTGAGGTCCTTTCCAAGAAAGCTTCGGAATGCTCTGTCAGGTGACGTCATTAAGCTGGACATGCTGCTACAGATACAGCGTGACATCACCACCGAAGGGTGCTTTGAGAGCTTTGCTAGGTGCTGTAAAGCTGAATTTTGCTGCAGGTGGACAGAAATAGTGTGAAGCCGCCACCGGCAATTGAGGAGACATACCGAGGGGTTGCCGCGCCATCGCGTCCCAAAGTCAATGCTGAGGCAGAGGTTGCTGAGATGCCAAAGGTGGGGCCTGCTTACATGCCCTGCCTAAAAATCTGAAACTGGGCCCGGCAATGCTAATCCAGATGCAGTGTACACCTCCCAGTAATACACAAGAGTCTAGTGGCGCAATGCACTTTCAGTCATTCTGTAAGGACGTGAACTTTTGGGGCTTGATCTGAAGCATGTGTTGAAGCTCCTTGATTGGTATATGCACTCAAAGAATGCCGAGGGATACAAGCAATTCTATCGCATGGTTTCATCGCATTTCTATTTGCATATCGCATATTCTAATCGCATGATGTTGGAGTGTTGCAGTGGCTGGAGATAAAGCCGACGGATGATGACAAGACACGGGCGAAGAAGAAGAAGCTGCAGAAGAGCTACAAGAGCAAGAAGCGCTTCCTGGAGATGGACATGATCACCAAGAAGAAGCAGCAGAGCTGGCTCGACTTCAAGAGCGGCAAGGGCGCCAAAAAGAAGGTCGGCCCGCTGTTCCTGCCTGCATCTTTGCATCCAGGGATTGTACATCCGCTGCCTGCATAATTCGCCTGGTCGTGGACCGATTCAATTTAACTGATCCTGCGTGTCCTGCACGCGCTCTCCAGCTTAGTGCATACTTTGTAGCAGGTTTCTCAGCCGGCTGAGTTGTATGAGTTTCTCTGTGATTGTATGGATGTCATGCTGGGCGCTGACTCTGACGATCAGAGTCAGACGTCTGATCAGCCATAGCGGATGGAAAAGGTGTAATCAATTGACTGACTGACTGTTTCTGCATCTTGTTGCCGAGCTTGGTGGTCTCGGGCGCCTTCCATGTCATGAACAGTTTCCTGTCATTTGTCATGCAATGACATACTTTCCCTATCTTTTGTCCTGACTATGTCATGAACAGTTTCCTGTCATTTATCATGCAATAAAATATTTTCCCTATCTTTTGTCCTGACAATGTCATGAGCAGTCTCCTGTCATTTATCGTGCAATAAAACATTTTCCCTATCTTTTGTCCCGACTCCTACCTGCTGTTGATAAAATGGCCCATGCCTGAGCACTTTTGTTTGTTGTGATGCAGACGGGGTTCTTGTCAAGCACGAAGAAGGGCAGCATATTTTCTGTGCCGGATGGACCTGCGGGGAAGGTGGGCGTAGTGGGCTCTGGCAAGGGCATGACAGAGAACCCCACCTTTGTAAAGCACGACTACAGCTCCATCGGCCAATGAAACAGCGCGCATTTTGAACTTTATTATCTTGTGGTTTATAATGAATGTGAGTGAATGAACGTTGTGGTGATGTTTTGTTTCCCCCCATGATTTATTACCGAGTACTTCTCAAGTGTTGGTGGCGGGCAGGGAACAGCCGAGATTTGCCGTGCAACCAGAGCAGTCCACCGTCACTAGTGCGCTTGTAAATTAGTAGCAACATCAAGTTTAATTACTTACACATTTGCTCGCTTCAACTGCCAATCTGCTTCATGGTGAGCTTTGGTCGGATGGTGACACAGTCAGCGCTGACGAGGCAGAGGGCGCAAATGGAACGCCCCCCGACGGGCAACACATCCACATTCAGCACCCAATCCGGGCTTTTCAGGTCCACCACAGCCACGGCACCGGCCTGCGCTGTTCCCTCCGCAAATGCCGCTGCAGCCACCGCTATGCCCCTCTCTCTACCCAACTCTGTCCTCTCCTCTTGCTGTCTAAAGCTCTCACCATTCCCAATGCTCCCAGCCTCCGGCCCATTTGATGCAGCTGCAGTAGGTCCCGGTGAGTCCTCTTCCAAAGGCCTCTTTCTCCCGACATGCAATGTGTCCTCGGCCGAGGTGCTGTTGCCATTGAGCTGTGTTGGGTGAGGGGCTGACGCCACCTCAGCAGATATTTGCACAGCAGGATCACGAGGGCTTTCCAAAGCCGTAGTGCTGCAATCTGCCACGCCATCTGCTGGCGTCCCAGTCCCGGCTGTGTCAGCGCCCCCGGATACCTTGATGGCTGCTGATGTGCTGCCAGGAACTGCAGGCCCTCCAGAGGCTGATAACCCCTGTAACAGTGCCAGACTTTCTGTTTGGGATCATTGAAGAGGCATCATAGGAGCTGAGAGAGGGTTCGTTACCACCCCTCTGACACTGTATTTTGCACTCATGAAATACGAGTGATTGCCTGCTAACTAGTGGTGGACCTGACTAGTGTGTTCAGCTCCCAAGCATCTAAAGTGCTGGCATGCCTGATAACACTGCTGGGCACATGAAGATCAACACTGCAGAAATATGGGCGGCAAAGCACCCAGCTGGGAATTCACCTTCTGGGTGTCCAGCGGCGTAGCCGCTCCGGCTGCGGCCGGCTCAGCCATGCGCGACCGGAACGCGATTGCAAACCGCACTCGCAGCGCCTCTGCCAGCCCACCTTCCTCAGCAGTGCTTCCATTCGCCTGCTCTGCTTGTGGAGGTGTGGCCTCCTCCCCAGCCGCCTCATCTGGCACTGTAGCATGCTGTTGTGAGGACTGCTGCACTGGGGCGCCCTCTTTGTTTCGCTGGAGCGCGGCTGCGTGCTGCGCTGCGATTCGCAGCACTGCGGCGCGCAGGCTCGCCGCCGACACGCTGCAGGTGGTGTGGACTGGCGAGATCCTCTGTGCATGCCTGCACATGCCAGCATGATGTGGGCACATGTGCTCATGACCGGCGGCGAGCACTTCGGCTAGCTACCTTGCAAGGCGCAACATTGTTTTAACTGATGGAGATATCTCGCATTTGGCACACATCGAAGGTGCCTGTTCCACTCATTATGTAGGAGCGGCCCAGAGAAGGCCAAGAAAGATGCATGCGGTAGGACTCTCACTTCAAGCGAGCGCGGCGGCCGCTGCCGATGCGGCCGATGAGTTCGGCCACAACAGCGGCCGGGGCCGGCAGCGGCGGCCGGTCAATGTCACCACCGCTGCCTGCATCATGGTGTGCTGGCTGCCACCGCAACAGCACAACTCCTCGGCAGGGCAGCTTGATGATGGAGAACGCCACATCAGGCGCACCTGGTGCCAGCTCCTTTGCACAGCTCTGCAGCGCTTCCATCGCCTCCCTTGTCGCGCTCTTTTCCCTGGAGGACAACCATCAGAGCTCCATTTGAGAGAAGCCCCTTCGAGCACGCACCTCTTGGTGCTATTTGGACAGAATCCATGGATGTTGAAAAACTTGGAGGAGGCATGTCAGCGGCCTGCATGTAAGTGTTCGGAGGTCACCTTCTGAAATGGCAGGTGATGATGAATCCTTGTGACCCTTCTGCGATGGTTTCCGCAGCTCGATAGTCAAATCGGCCGAGCTCTTTGAACGAGTAGCCAGGAGTACTATCAAGCCTCCGCTGTTTGTTTTGATGGAGTTCGGGTGCTGGTCGCCGCATCTCCTGCCATCCATCAAAGGGACCCCTTAATTGATGACCTAATTGTTACCATCAACAACAAACACACTGGATGCACGCGATCAGCTCCTTATTTGTACTTTGAGCTTGAGCTTGCCGGGCATGGTAGGAGGCCATATGAATTAAAGCACATATTGCTGAGGAAGCACAGGTTGCTGCAAAAGAGCACCCGTTCAGCGGCTCTGATCAGTTCCTCGTCCATCCTGGCAAAATTTCTGACGAAGTACGGCAGGTGAGAGTCCTGGCCTTCAAGCTAGTCAGCACCAGCGTGCTACCTAATGGTCAAGCATGCAGTGCAAAAGGGCGTGAACTTGATGAAACGTCTTATAGGTGCATGTAGTCCTGCCCTCATGTTTGTTCTCGCAGCAGACAACCATGTGGGAGCTGCAGAGGAGCAAACAGTAACCGTTCATGTAACATGGAAAAGGGGTTGTAAGCATCTATTGAGCTTCCATAGCTCAGTGGTAGAGCGTTGGTCTTGTAAACCAAAGGCCGAGGGATCGATACCCTCTGGGAGCATGTTCCATTTTTTTAATTTGTGCAGGTGGGCATTAGTGCAAAACGATAACGATAACGTTGATGGAGTCCTTGGCACGGCAAGTATTCTGGAACTTGCGTGTGCAATCTGCTGAACGTATTGTTCGCATTTGGCGTGCGGCATCGGATGCCATGCAGACTGTGGCCTGCTATGGGGCAGATGCGAGGTAGACATCAGCATGCAACTTCATCTGTATGTTTATCTGTTGACTGGATGCTGTCAAGCGCTCTGTAACATGGCTCCCGCGCTCCAGACTGGATCCCCAAGCAGTTAGACTCAGGCGTGAACGGGAACTTTCCTCGCAAGATGAACGGCCTCGATTCACTGCCGTCAGATGTTGTTCTACTAATCTCGGGCTACATGACTATGCGAGACTGGGCGCGGGCGTCTGGCACTTGCAAGGCATGGTGGAAGCTGCCCCTCAACAATCTCGATCTGTGCAAAGTAGCTGACCACGACAGCAAACTTACAATTGCAGGTACTCTTCAAGCCCATACAGGCTGCCCCAATCCAATTTTGACATCATTGCCAGCAGCAAACTACTTCAGCCTAGACGATGGCCGTTAGGCACTTGATGGCTCCCCAGTCGGGTTGCAAATTTTGCAAAATTACAGTACTATTCTAATGCAATCCCATCATGCTGCACAGGCATCTACTGGGTTGCAAATCGCTGCACGGAAGCACAGGTGCTGCGCTGCGAGATAAATGACATCAGTGGGACGGTTATGAGTCAGATGCGGCCGCTGCTGAAAGCCTGCGAGGACCCGGGGCTGCGCTACCTGCAGGAGCTTCACCTCAAGTGCTTCTACGAACAACCTTTAATAAGGTACCCAGGCAACACGCGCACGCCGGCTCTTCGCAGCAACAGTGGCGGCACAATGCTCTTCATGGACCTCGTGGAGGGTCTGGCTCGCATGGCATCTCCTTTGCGCGTGCTGTCTGCCCACATAGACAAGCTGACCAACGCCGGAGCTTTCCCTCGCATGAGGCAGCTGCAGCACCTGCTGCTGTCCATGTCGATTTGCACGTCCAAGGATGACAGGCGGCTGAGTGCATTGGCCTCTGCGCTGCCGCAAATGCCTCAGCTGCTGACCGTACACCTGGACAACACTGGCGGGTACTCCGGCAGCATGTCCATCCTGCCCTTGGATCTGAGGCCATGCACAAGACTGCAGAGCTTGCGGCTCGGAGGCATCGCCCCTGCAGACCTGAAGCTGGCACCACAGACCAAGCTGCACCTAGATTTGACTCACTGGGAGCTTGCATGCGCTCCTGTTTGGGCCCAACTTTCTTCTGTGAACACCCTGTTTTACGAGCATGTCACCATACAGGGTTCCATGTTTGACCGCACAAACCTTATCCCCTGGCTGAGTGGACATGTCAAGCTGGACACTGTGTATCTACAAGCATTTGTGTTTGGCGAAGCAGTCTACATGAATGGCATGCAGATGGCCCCTGCCTTTATTGGTGCAAGACACTTTAGCCTCAATGGACACGGGGTGCGTCTGAAAGTCCCAGCACAGCACAGGTGGCAGGTGCTGGAGGTCTGGGCAGATTATGCTATGGCCTTGGAGTTTGAGGATCTCGCTGTCTTTGTGCGCGCGCCTCCGTCCTTCACATTCGAGTTTATGCGTTTCAGGGGCACAGGATTTAGGGAACTGCTCAGAGCGCTCGGAGATTCCCGGCGTGTCAGGTTGAGGAAGGTGACTGATTCTGAGGGTGACTACCTGCACCTCTGCAATCGCTGCACTCCCGACAGCGAGAAGTGGTGCACCTTCAGGGAGTCCAAATACTCTTGGGACAGGCGTAAGTGGTACCGCAATTCTGAAGTGTGCACATGTGGTGCCTGTGCAAGCTGCTTGGTTGCTGCTGGCAAGATGGTCGGTTTTATTCGTTAGCTGCTCAACAACAGTCTCACGTCGTAAGAGCAGTTACCTGTAATGGTAGGTCCACATTGCATGGAATAGATCAGTCCGTCTGTCTAAACTATTTGGGTTGAGCTCTAGGGAGAACCCGGGAAGGGGCGACCCATGCAAGCACCGTGCGTATGACCCTGGAACAAGGGCTGTGAAAGAAGCAGAGGGAAACTTTCACTCGTACCATATTTGTGGGTTAGCCATCCTCCTACAGCAGAATGGGTGGATAGGCAGGAATAATGTCATCTGTGTATGCTTGTGGTGTTAACACCAACGTTGTAGCCCAGGTCTGTATTGATTGGGCAATGCTTACATGCGAGTGACATCCAAAGCGGCACATGATTGTTGATGTGACTGCCTAGGACCTCCTTAATGGAGTGAACCTTGCAGGCAGGATTTGAGCACGCATCATGATGTGTGTACATAATGTGACTCAATGAAGAGATGAGGAACTGCGGTTTTCAGCGGCAATGCAAGTGGCAAATGGTGGCATGATATCCGGTGTTAAGGTATGGAGAGTTGCTGTTGGCATTTCAGACGTTCCAAAGCGACAAAAAAATCCGACGCCCGTCTGTAGACAGACGTAGGCATCTGACTTCTACTAGCGTGCAGCCCTTCTGTCACCTGCTGATGATGTCATCATCACGGTGAGTAGCAGGAAGGCCCAAGAAAACTTTCAATTGAGCAGGGAACACGAAGAAATTGCGACAGAGGTGACAGCGACAATCAGCAAGCTTGGCGTCGTCAGAGATTTTGTGTAGCGCTGTACGCTGGCAAGTTGGCGCCACTATGGCCGATCAGCCTGCGGCAAACCAACCGCGTAACCAAATGACGGATGGACAGCAGTAAGCCTGTCAACCTCTTTACTTATATTATTGCTTGTTGCCGTCTTTTCCAGGTTGCAGATTCAAGAGGGTCGCTCTTATAGGGATGAGCAGCGGGCCAAACATTGTGGAATGCGAACTGTCGTGATCTTCCCTGCGAAGGAATATGAAGATTCTATGTCTAGAGCGCACATGTGGTGTACAAGTTTACACATACATCTTGCCATCATAGATTTATTTGCGGAAGGCCCAACTATTTTCACGAAGTGTAGGGAATGCGAACTGTCGTGACGCTTCTGAAAGCATATTGCAGATCCTAAGCACCGATACAGCGCACTATATGTTCAATCCTAACATTCGAACTTTATTGTCTCTGGCATTTCACGAATTAAGACGTTGATTTCAGATCTCACTCTTTCTGATTAGCCCGGCTTTTGGCGAACAGGAGATCTGTTCGAGCGACTGGCACAATGGAACACATACCAATGGAGCTCCTACGTATAATTTCAGACCATCTGTCGATGCGTGACTGGGTGCGAGCGAAGTCAACTTGTAAAGCGTGGTTGGCGCTGCCCATCACGAAGCTGGACTTGCGCAAGTCGGCGAATAACGATCGTCCCTTCGGGCCCACAGGTGAGAAACAATCTCAATCAGATCGATCTGTATGTCTGCATGACAATAGTGCTAGAATCCTGAGGGAAGAGTCAAGCCAGGCAGCAAGTGCGTGGGCAGTCCGGCCATGAAGCCTGCAGAACCCAGGTTCCCTACAGCTGTACGCTATTTCAGGCAACCAGTATATTGCTGTTCCCTAAAGTGTAATAAAGTTTGTTTTGCAGGCGTCCTGTGGGCATCCAGGCACTACCACACAGCTCACCTGGTCTACCTTGACACCACCAACCTGCCAGGCTGGGTGTCACATCCTTGGAGCAGCTTATGCCCCTTATCACGGCTCTCACCACAGACCATGATCCCAGCAGCCTGAGTGAGCTGCACCTCTTGTCCTTCAAGGGCGTGGATGCCTGGAAGTACAAGTTGGACATACCGTATATCACTCACCCGCAAGCCGTCAGTGCCAAAAATCCAAGTGGCACAATCAGCGCATTGACCTTCATTTTCCACAACATGATGTTGTGGTGTGCCGCAAACTGCCGAGCTCTGCGAGTGCTGCGGTGCGAGTTCAACAATGTGATCCCCGGCATAGCCTTTCCAGTCTTGAGTCACCTCCAGCACCTGATGTTGACAATCACAAGAGATGCTGAGGGCTTCCCTGCTCTTGATAGTGCCTTGCCCCAGATGCAGCGACTGCTCACTGTGCACCTTGACAATACATATGATGACAGTGGCTGTGTCGAGGTTTCACACTTGGATCTGAGGCCCTGTGGAGAGCTACAAAGCCTTAGGCTCAGCAATGTTGCCCCAGCTGGCTTGCTGTTGCCCAGCAGTTGCACTCTGCACCTCGATCTAGGCTTTGAAGATCTTGGCCTTGCTCCTGTGTGGAAATCTGTGCGCAATGTCGGCTCGCTGTACTACAACATGAGTATAATTGGTGGCGACCTGGGTGAGATTGACTCTCTGACATCTGTGCCGTTTTTGAACAATCTTGCATCACTGGACACTGTGTGTCTAGATTGGTGTGATGAGTATACAGCACAGCGCATACCACCTGCTGTAGCAGGTGCAAGACATTTCATCATCAGAGGTTGTGGTGTCCACCTTACCATCCCTGCGTCCAACACCTGGGAAGTGTTGGAGGTTTACAGTAGTGGCTACCTTCACCTGGAATTTGAAGATCTTGCTGCATTTTCGCGCGCGCCCCCGGCCTTCACGTTCGAGTGCCGAACAGGAGAAGGCTCAGATTTCTGGGACCTCCTGAAAGCTTTGGGCAAGGACTGGCAAATGAGAACGAGAACACTTGAGCCGTACAATATTGTAAATGAGGACTTCAGTGAGCACTTGCATCTTGGCAATCGCTGCCAACCTGGCAGGAGCAATTGGTGCAACTTTACCAACAGAGAAAAGTATGGGATAGCCGCGTTTTTGGCAAAGTGCAGCTGCGGTGCTTGCGCTGACTACCTCGTTGCCGCAGGCAAAATCAGCGGCTGATGCCATGTTGGGCAGGGATGGAAAAAGCAAACAATGAGTTTTTGATAAAATAACAAAACACACTACCGCTCCCTTCAGAGTTCAAGCAGCTCTGATGGGATCAGTGGTTGAAGGGCTCAGGAACATGCACATGCCGAG